CTGTCTGTCACTATCAGGATCTGTCTCTACAGTCATCAGTACAGATCCACTGAAACCAGGAGGAATCTGTCAGTCAGTGGACGGTGGACTACTGGTCATCTTGAGAGACGAGGAATCAGATCGGTATAAATTAGAGTCACACAGCAGACGTCTGGTGAGACACATCACGGTGACAGGTGATGTCATCCATGAATATGAGTACCAGGAGGACGGTTACACCAGACTGTTTACATACCCAGTCAGAGTAACACAGAACAGTAACAGTGATATCTGTGTTGTGGACCGTACAAGGCGCACTAAAGCTGAACTAGTGATTTTGTCTCCCTCTGGTCGAATGAAGTCTGTCTACCGTGGACAGAACTTGACAGAAAAATTTAGACCAACTGATGTCCTGTGTGACTCCCTCTGTAACATCCTTGTTACTGACCCACCTAACAAACAGATCCATCTCCTGAGTCCTGACGGGGAGTTCTTGCAGTTGCTACTGATATATGAAGTGAACCGTCCTCGCTCATTGTCCCTATACAAGTCTACACTGTGGGTTGGATATGAGGAAGGATGTGTTCAAGTATTTAAATACAAAATGCAAAAATCTAATATACATAGTGTTTGAATTCATATAAAGTATCAGACAGATTTAGTAAAGAATATTTTGATTCATATCAACAGATCAAGTTCTTATTTTGATTTTCAATCATTATAATATTTATATTAAGTTCCACTGATTAAAAAAAAAGCCGGTCCCATCAAATTGGCCACACAAATTTATAATTTTTTTTATGTTTATTAAAGATTTGAAAGTATTTTAACATGTAACTGTAAGAATCAAAATATTAAAACCATCAAAATAAAAGTACAGCTGTTTACAGTAAATGTCTATTTCTGTTGCAAATTGTACAGTCACTTACCTTATTTTTCTGTGCTTTTCACATCTGAACTTTTAGTGATCAATTGTGAAATAAATGACAAAATAAAGTTTAATATCATGGAATTGAAAAACATACTTAGAAAAAGGAATGCTTATATGACTGTACAACATAGGCTGTCTGTAAAAAGCAATGATTTAGAGGGGGATTTTTTTTCATTTTCTAAAAAAGTGAAATTCATTGCCAATGGGTCACAGGTTCTTGTGTTACATATGTAATCAAGTACATGTATTGAAAAGTCACTTTATTGCTACATCCCTTCAAAATCTTCTTTTCTGTTGGACATTTAGTTTTTTGCATAAACTTATCTAATTTTTCTATTAAAAACTGCTTTAATTGATATTTACAGTGTTTTGTTATACTCAAGTGACGGCTATGAACCGTAGATCTCTTGTTATAGACACCCACTCCATTTTTTCCTTTTTTGATTATCTCAATTCTATGCTTAAGAATCCTTTAATCTAAAGATAGTTTATGATAACTTTGTTAAAAATGGTCCAAAGTTCTGGAGAAGTTGGCAAAAATATGAAAATAAAAACAAGATGTGTTTGTGAAACACTATGCGCCCGCTTCAGTTCGAAAAAATATATATTTATCAAATAGGTCACAGTCAAGGTCACGTCATTGGCTTTAGCATCATTTGATTACAGAAATAAACTTAACTAGTGTTAATTGTAACGGGGACCGTTACAGATGTTCCTCAAACGCTCACCTATTCCATTTTTGTACCTAATTCCTGTAAGATATTTTTTAAAAATATGATCTGTATCGAAGGATTTCATCAAAGAATTATAAAAGCTACATTGATATCAACTACCGGGTATATGTTATTTAACGCATTGAACATGCATGCACATTCATGCACATGCAAGATGATCATGCCATGCTATCTCAACAATTAACATATCTATATATTGTGAAAATCAATAATTAAAAGTTTACAATATAGATTTTACTGTTTTTCAAATATATTGGTCATTTAGTTTATTTAGCGTGCGCACGTACATGCATGCAGAGGCAAGTTAGAGGCATTTAAAGTTTTTCAGCCAATCACATTGCATTACACATGCATGCGCATGCTTTACATTATTATTCTTATATATCATGTTGTACATGTTGTAGATCTTCATAATGTTTAACCATGTTCAAAATTTCAAAGTATTCTGTCAAAAAACAAGAAAGATATTGAGACTTTAGTTTCAGCCAATCAGAGAGAAGCGCACGTGCATGCATGTGATCATGAGATCTTGGTATTTTGACCATGTCGTCTTGTCCCTGGTTCAAATATACATGTATCCTTATATAATGAGTTCCAAAGCATTTCATCAAAAATTGAAAAAGTTACATCTATATCAGTTATACTTGACATTTCTCGTGTTGCACATGCGCGCTCTTGCAAATGGGTCATAATGCTCACCTGAGTAACCTTGGTTTAAAGCTTTTTAATGAAATGAAAAATCCAGTTCCTTTCCAAAACTTTTTAGCCATGTTGCTCCAATCTAACTTTAAGGGTAATGATTTAACCAGGTCTGAATTCAAAGAACATGAGGACGCCTTTATATTAATGCAAAATATAGAGATAACAAACAGTATTAAAGCTCAAAGCTCATTAAACAATACAAACTTTGTAGCAGAACAAAAACGAACCTTTAAAACAACAGAAATGGGATTAGGTGCAATGGAAGAGTGAGCATCCCCTGCCGACCGGTCGCACCTGCCATGTGAAACTTGTCATGATCTGTCAACAATAAGGTGTGTTGATAGATCTTATTCCAAAACATACATGATGTAGTATGAAAAACATCAGTCATAATTTGACTTAACAAAAAGTTTTATTTTTTTAAATCAGTATTTCCATAATTGTGTTAAGTCCGTTTACTTAATTGGACTAGACATCAGGCATGGTCTATATAAGTGGGAAGTTGACGATTGAAAAGTTAAAGTCATCCTGTTTATCATAAAGCTTGAAAATGGTTGATAGATTACCATCTACGTCTTTTTCTAGTAAGATATCCAATTTAAATATTAATGAAATTTTCACAGAATCGAGAAGACAATCTTACCTTAAGAAAAGAAATCATGAAGGCAGAGTGCCTAAGAATATCCCATGAATATTGAGCCACCACTTAGACTTTTTCGATATCTTGTGAACTTAAGGTAGTCCGATCCTCAGGTTTATAAAATTAGCAGTTAAGTAATCAAAAATACTCATAAAAGTATCCCTGAATCCACAAATTTATGTTAATTTATCCACAGTATTTCTTTAAAGTTAAAGATTAAAGTTAATCATATTATATAGGGAAAATTGTCAAATCTCCAATACTTTTGCAGAAAAAAGCGAATTCGAATATCAGCATTGCATTTTCTAATTGCAACAAATATATATTAGGTTAAAAAACGATAGGTATCCAGGCATTCAGAGAAAATGTCATAATTTTTATAATTATTTGGTATTTTAGTCCTCTATTTCCATCTTGTATTCTTTAATACATAATGTAAAAGGCTGTTGCTATCATTGCAAGACACCACAAATCACTTCTAATTTCATATCATGCTAAAAAGCATTAGTATATAAGGCTGGATTCAAGAAAGTCTAATTTCTCTAAAACTGTATTAATTTTATTTTTCCTTTTATAGGTTACAAATGTCAACTTTTATAAAACCTTTTCTGAGACTTCCAAAAACCTTGAATCTTATAAAGATGAATAAAATGAAAATTGTTGCATGAATTTTCATTTTCAAGCTTCATTTTAATAAATTTCAAATTAAATATTAATTTTTGGAGTTATCCTTCCTGGCTGAGGACCGGATATCCTTAAAAAAAGAACTGCACAACCGTGAACCTTCTTTCATGATGATGTCAAAATTAAATAAAAAATCAAAGGCCTGAAGGCCTGCGAGTTGACTCGCTCGAGTCAATTGATCTGGGCACCATACCTTAATATATTCAGTTTAGTTTGCATCATAAGAGATTGAATATCATATGTCTGATCCATGTTCGGTTCATAAATAAAGTGTATATTGCTTTTCCTTTATAAATACAGGTTGGAACTAATGGGCTTCCGTATTATTTTGACTGGATTCTATAATGAATTTCAGCACACTAGCTGAAGTGGTCAGTGTTATGGAATAATTAGTTTAAAGATTCCCACAGCAAATCTGGATTCTAAAAATAGATTTTCAACAACAACTAGCTGCAGCTAATGAGAGCAGCAGGTGTTTGTGTTAGGGATTATTCTAGGTCAATTATAAATAAACTTCAGATGGGAAGATTAGATCCGCCTAACATGCTTGAACATATATTCATACGCAGTAATTGTACATCGTACAGATATTGAATAAAAAATTTCTTTAAAAGCATGAAGGCATAAATAATGTTACAGTACAAAATTTTCACCTCTTAAGTTCATACAATCACTCAAACCAAAGCATTTTTTGCTAGAACTATAATATTTGGCGTATGGATCACCTTGATGAATGCGTGATAAATTTTACAGCTCTGAAACGGCTATGTCAACAGGGAGTAGCTCGCTACGCGAGCCAATTCAAAAAGTGTTCTACCTACCAAGAACCCGGTCTCCCGGTAAAAATCACTAAACCCATTACAAAAGATGGTCAACCAAAGCAAATCTAGGACCTGCTGGCTCTGTTTACTAAACTACAGGCATTACTTGTGTGCAAAACTGGTATACATTTCAATGGTATGTTTCAAAATCTCTGATAGTTATTCAATATCTGAAAATGAAAACAAATTCAAGGGTATTTGGTTGGCAATTTCAACAATTTATTCTTTTATCAGTCTCAACATAGATGCCTTTTCATCTTGGTTTTTCAAGGTGCTCATAGTGCCTAAACTGACATTGCCTATAAACGGACCTGTAACAGTATTGCCTCCTGTTTCTCAATACAGTAGTTAAACTAACCACTCGAATATAATCATTTATATTCAGAGGAAAATATATTTAAAACTAAATTTGATGACTAATCTAATTTTCAAGTGAATAAAACATGTTTACTATTGTAGCTTGACAATGTCCATGATTTTGGCATGTACAGTATATCCCTGTCCTATTTATACCTTACGATAACTGTACAAAATTGACAAGAAAACAAAAACTTTTTAACTGTTTTATATGAAGATAAAAAAAAAACAATGTTCCAATGGTGAAGTGACACATTATAATCAAAATCTTGTAATGTAAATGTACTAGAACATTTACTATGGTACACTTCAAGACACTTAGATAATAAACACGCTAATACAAAATATTTATAGAATGTACTTTTGATAAGCGACGCTATACTACAGTAAAGATAGAGAATACATGCCCATTTCTATTCTATTTACATTATTTACAATACTTTATTCACAATATAATTAGTTTTTCATTGATGCAAACAATTTTATTGACATAAATATGTATGATTGGAAAATTCGTAAAAACTTCCTAAAAAAATGTTAGCAAGGTCATGGCACATATAAATAGTTTTTGTCATATAATACACTGTAATATAGGTAAGAAAAAATGCTATGAAAATAATGATTAATGGACAATTTCACATCAGATGTTTCAAGTAAAAGTTTTGGTACTAATAAACTTTCATGTTGACACAAGTCTTGTCCCATTATATTGAAGAAGTGTTAGGAATGTACCAAACACTTTGTGCATACATTAGAAAGTGTTGGAACTTCTCAGGCTAACCTGCAAAAATTCTGAGACAGATACTTGAAGTTTTGAATATAAATTCTACAATTTGTTTTATCCAGCTCTTATTGATTTTGAATTGGGCAACATCACAGAGAAAAATAATTGCACATGTATGCAGATATGAGCTGAAAAGGAATGCATATACACTGGTGATAGAAATGGTACAAGTAAATAGTACTAGTCTTGTCATTCTCACAAGATGAGTGTTTAATATGACTGATAGAGAAACAATGTTTTTTTTTTTTGTTTTTTTTTTTGCACACTTCAGTACTAGGTACAATTAATAAACTGACACAGTTATTCCCATTATACATGCAAATATGAGCACCAATTTTATTCATGAGCAATGTCTTATGAAAATGACACATTAATACAAACATGCATTTGTCTGACATTTTCTCTTGGGTCTAGGGATTTTATTTTTAAATTTTCTCTCAGTCATACAAATACAGGGCATTTGAACATAGGAAACTGCCTGACCAGTAGTTGTCTTGTGTTTTCTAGTTTATTAACAAAGTCTGCAGGGATCACGTCTTTATGAGCAAGGAACCATGGGTAAAGAGAGGCGGACATGACTGTTACAGGAGACAGGAAAGACAACTCTAGCAGTGTCCGGGCCACACTCAGCTGTAAATCCAGGCTCGCTGTAAATAGAAAAGATATACCATTTATGGGGATGAAATTACAGACAAATAATATGTAAACTTATGTAGCTTGTATATTAACACACTTAAAAAAAATGTATTTTGTCATACATCTCGCAAGCATTGTAACATATCAAATGACATTGAAATACAAACAATTACTGTATAACTTTTAATTCATTTAAGGATGACGTTTACTCAGGTTTCAGAAAACAGAAAGGAAATTTTATAAAGTATAATATTTTAAATCAAAAATTGTTCTAAATGGATAAAATAAGCAAGGTTTAAATCAAAATCAATTTGAAAATTTAATATTTTATTATTTAAAGAAAATATACAGGAACAAAAGTCAATGTATGGTAATGCAGAGGAAATTCGGACTAAATTTTTAATTTTCCATTTTTGTCAAAAAATTTTATTTCTTGCAATATTAATCACAAAGTAAAGGTTACATGTATTTTTAAACATCAATTTGCAAATATTATATGTGTTAAAGCCTATAAATTATTTCAAATAATTGAATGCTGTGAAATAAATAAATTCAAAAATATGAACAAAAACCATTCGAGACAACATATCTCAATAATTTGATCATTGACCCCATATAATATTAATACCTCGAGAGTTAGGGCAAAAAAAGTAATCTGAGGGTATCAGTAGTTTAGAGTTCTTATCAGTCAGATTTTTGTAATATTCGATTAAAAATGGGGAAAAAATATAAATATGACAGAGGAAATTCGGACTGTAATAATTATCACATTTATGACCCAAACTCCAATCCTTTCTTTATATGAAGCAACACTGTTCCATTGCTATAATATTTCATTATTTAAAGAGTTTAGTTGCTTGTAATATTTTGTGTGTATAGAAAAAATTGGTCATAGTGTGAAAAATTGAGGTATTTCCCGAGAAATACTCAGGGGTCACTAGCATGAAAAGTAGGTCATTGACCTAGTTATTTGAAATTGAAATTTAACACGAGAATCATAGGTGTTCAATTTGCAATAGGTAGTTTTTCATTCTTATCAGTGGAATTTTTGGTCATCTGAGTAAAGGTATACCTTAATGCTGTTACATAACCAAATAGAGACCCATAGGCCCAATGAGTTATATTTGCCATATCTTACTGTTTTTAAGAAGATTTTTTTATGTCTCAGGTTTGAATCCCTCTGTAGGACGTGGAGACCATATATATAAACCAATGTCTCGTGTCGCAGTAGGTGCTGGCACGAATATCCCTCACTGCCCAATGGCCCTGATGCTGCGTGAGTATACATGTATGACAAAAATACAGCTATACCGTCAAGTAGTGACATCTCCATACGAGTGAAAAATTCTCAAGAGGGATGTTAAACAACATGCAATCAATCAACGTTTTTTCCCTTTACAACCAAATATAAAATTATGAACCCCTTAATATAGCTCCAGTCTAGTCTCAGTGAGCTAGACTTAATTAAACTTGAATCAACATAGTTACATAGAGATTTTGAATATCAATACGCACATAACCTTGCAGTCATTGGGAAAAAAAGTTTTCCTCTATATACTTTATGTAAAATTTGATTTGTTATACTACATCAATAACAAACTTAAGTCAACCTGATTACCTCTGCAGTCTCCTGAAAAAGGATCGTTTAATTGGGTAAATACATTCCTAAATAAAGAATCTCGGTACTACAATGTAGTCATTTCCTCTAGTTCAGATCGATATCGCGTGTAAGTATTGTAATGTTCACCTGTATGTTTACATTTCTTTGCACTAATAGGTGCCATACTCAATAAATTTAAAGTACGACTTCGGAATTCCAGTTATCTAACATACACACACACTAGCACACTAAAATCTAGGTCATTGACACCCGACAAACATGGCTGAAAGTAACTCAGAAGAATATCCACTGGGTTCTCCTCTAGTGCATATAAAAATGTGTGAAACCCATGAATTACCAATTGATATTATGGTGAATTTACTTGTGTCACATGTGTCAAAACTGATCATAGAGATCATGAATGGAAGACACTAACAACTGAAGCCACCAAAAGAAGGAGAGGTCTGCTTAAATTTCTGAAGAAGATCAAGGAAGAGGATCTGCCTGGGATTGATGAGAAGATTGAGAAAATTTCACAACAGATCATGGAAAATAAAGATATGTGTGATTCTGAGATTAAAAAGCTTAAGAAGCATTATGATGAAATAACGACCAAGCTGACAGAAATCAAATATTGTCATGAACAAACAATAAGGGACAATTTAGTCAAAAAGAATGATCAGTTAAATCATTTGAAATCTGAGTTAGAGAAGAAGAAGAGAGGAATCATTAACACAATAGATTTCATGGAGGAAAACAACAGCACTATGTCAGATTACAGCTTGATTGACAACCACAGACAACTGACAAAAATGTAGTCTGAATTGGAGGTTCAGATGACAAACTTTGCACATTCAGTGAGATTCGTTCGAGGTGAAATCAATGGTGATTTTCTTGAATCTATGGTTGGAAAGACTTTGGATTTAAATGATATTGGCTTGACTCATATAAACTCCTTTCAATATGGAGATAGTCAAGTATATTTGTTGGCGGCAATCGGTGAAGATCAGTATTACATAGGAGACTTTTTATCAGAATATACAGAAAGAGTCAATAAAGAAGGAGAAAAAAGAAATTTAAAATCACTCTAATGACATGAGTGTTTCTAATAACGGTGGTGGTTTTTTCACTGATTTTAGGAACAAGAACATCAGCTGGCTGTCATCATCAGGATCTGTGTCTACAGTTGTCAGTACATATCCACTGAAACCAGTAGGAATCTGTCAGTCAGCGGATGGTGGACTACTGGTCACCTTGATAGACAGTGAATCAGATGATTTCAAAATAGAGTCACACAGCAGACGTCTGGTGAGACACATCACAGTGACAGGTGATGTCATCCATGAGTATGAGTACCAGGAGGATGATCAAACCAGACTGTTTACATTTCCAGACACAATCACACAGAACAGTAACAGTGATATCTGTGTTGTTAACCATACAAGTAGAAATTCTGGTGAACTAGTGATTCTGTCTCCCTATGGTCGTATGAGGTCTGTCTACCGTGGACAGAACCTGGCAGAAAGCTTTAATCCATTTGATGTAGTGTGTGACTCCCTCTGTAACATTCTTGTTACTGACCCACCTAACAAACAGATCCATCTACTGAGTCCTGAGGGGGAATTCCTAAAGTTCTTGCTGACAGAGATTGAAGAGAATTGTCCAACCTCACAGTCCCTATACAAGTCTACACTGTGGGTAGGATACAGGGAAGGATTTGTCAAAATGTTTAAATACAAAATGTAAAAAATCTTTTGTTACTCCTCACTTAGATATTGACAGTAGTCAAGGAAAAACTTCAAGAGTATTGTGCAACAATATTCAAGAAGTGGTGTGAATCAGATGTGGATACTCAAAAATTCTAAAGAACTTTTGGACAATTTCAAATCAAGATTTTACCAAAATCAACAGCTTAAAATCTTATGACTTTTCAACATTAAGCACAAATATTCCATGCAATAAATTTAAGTCCAGGCTTTTTGATATCATTGACAACTGCTTTTTCAATAAAAATGAAACTTGTAGATTTACTAACCTGGTCAATGGTCATTTGCAAAATTATTTTGTTAAAACACATTCTGATTGCACACACAAGTACTCTGAAGTTGACATCAAAAAGATGCTTGAGTTTCTGATTGACAATATCTATGTGGTTTTTGGAGACCAGGTATTCCTGACAACAATCTATTGGAATTCCCATGGGTACAAATTGCGCTCCATTATTAGCAGACCTATTTTTATATTCCTATGAAGCAGAATTTTTGCAAAATCTTAATATGCATGAAAAGAAGAAACGTGGCCTTCAACTCAACATTTAGATATATACATGTATCGACGACGTATTGTCAATTAACAATGGTACATTGTAATTTCCATTCCTATGTCGATACGACATATCCTGGTGAGCTTGAGATAAAAGATACCACAGAGTCTGACACATCTGTGTCATACTTGGATATTTTATTTGAAAAAGACATTAATGGTAATCTAGCAACCAAGCTATATGATAAACGTGATGACTTTAACTTTTCTATCATCAACTTTCCTTACTTATACAGCAATATACCTTCATCACACACATACTGAGTGTATATATCTCAGTTGATTCGATATGCAAAAGTATGCTCTGCGCATGAACAATTTCAAAAACAAGGTAAATTATTGACAAACAAGTTGATGAAACAAGAATATTAGCATCTTTTTTAAAGTCATCATTTCGCAAGTTCTTTGGTAGATACAATGACCTTGTAAGCAAATACAATTTATCATTGAGTCAAATGCTGACTGACGTTTTGCATACTAATTGTTAGTCCATTATTTATACACTGAATTGACAACAAATTTTTCCGTTATTTCCTGATCATGACAAGGAGCACACAGCGTGTGTGACAGGTCAGCAGGGGATGCTCACTCCTCCATGGCACCTGATCCCACCTCTGATGTTTTGGAGGTCTGTGTTTGCTCTGCTCCTAGTTTGTATTGTTTATGGACTTTGATATTGAATACTGTTCCTTATCTCCATATCCCTCATATTACATATTTGAATGTCAGACAGTTTTTGTAAAGCATATTTTGATCAAAAATCCCCAAACTGTACTTTGATTCATGTAGGCGGATTAAGTTCTTATTTCAATCACCAAACAAACATATTTATATAAAGATGTTCAAGTGATAAAAAAAAAAAAACACCGAACGAATCGGCCACATAAATACATGTATATTTAAGAATGAAAGTATTTTCACAAATAAGAATCCAAAGATAAAACGATCAAAATAAAAGTATACGATACATGTTTATTTCTATTGCAAATTGTACACTTTATTTTTCTGTGCTTTTCACATTTAGCATTGTATAGTGATCAATTGTAAAATTAATTTCAAAATAAAGTTTAATATCATGGAAATCAAAATCATACTGAGTTATAAGTGTGGAATACATTATCATTAAATTACAGGAAACTATCATATAATTGTAAATAAGTAATTAAAACTGATTGATTGATTGATTATATGCTGTTTTTACATTCCATTTGAGAATTTAAACTTAAACCTGGAGAGCTCAAAATGTGTAAATCTAGAATTCACCTCGCCAACAGGCAAATGTTGATCAGAAAAACTCGAATCTTACTAGGCTGAGATGACCTAAAAAGTAATTTCCAAACGTACTGCAAGAGACTGATACATGTAATAACAAGAGATGTTTGTAAAACCCTTATGCCCCCCTCCCCCCAAATTGGAATTTTTCCAAGTCCAAGGGGCATAACTATATCAAAAATGGCGCAATCCTACCAAAAACAGAACTTGACTTCATTTGAAAAATCTGTACCCTAAATATCATTTCAGTATGTACAACGATTGTGAAGAAAATGAACGGAAACTGCAAATAATTGAAGTTTATCTAAGTCCAAGGGACATAACTCTGTCAAAAATGGGGCGATCATACCCAAAACAGAACTTGGCCTAGATATTCATGTGATATATTTGTATACCAAATTTAATTTCAGTATGTACAATGGTTGTGAAGATGAACGGAAACTGCAAATAATTGAAGTTTATCTAAGTCCAAGGGGCATAACTCTGTCAAAAATGGTGCAATCGTACCCAAAACAAAACTTGGCCTAGATATTCATGTGACATATCTGTATACCAAATTTCATTTCAGTATGTACCATGGTTGCCAAGAAAATGAACGGAAACTGCAAATAATTGAAATTTTTCTAAGTCCAAGGGGCATAACTCTGTCAAAAATGGTGTGACCGTACCCAAAACAGAACTTGACCTAGATATTCATGTGATATATCTGTATACCAAATTTCATTTCAGTATGTACAATGGTTACGAAGAAAATGAACGGAAACTAAGTGGACCGACAGACAGCAGCAAACCAATATGCCCTCCCTTCTTCGAAAGGGGGCATAAAAAACATGGGTCACACCATGATTCCCGCAATGGTTCCCTTACCTAAATCAGACATGAGGACTTTACAGATGTACTTCCGGATTATCTGAGACAAGCTTTTCTCGTTCATTGTGGTCAACTGTAACAGAACACTTCCTGAAACGATACAGATAAAATGTCTCAAGATTCTATTGAGTATATAATGTGGGTTAATATGATAAAAATTATACATTATACCTAGTATGGCGGATTTTCTAAACGGGTGAAAAAAAATTTGTATTTTGTCTGCTCAAAGGTATACCAATAGTTTTGATGTTATTTATTTAAGCGGACACAGGTTTTCAGCTTATTTTAGCGATTGAAATTTTTGCGGGCTACCACCAAAATGCCAAAATAAGCCAAGATTAGCATCTTGCTAAAATAACCAGCTATACGGTGTATATATTGCTTTAGTTATTTGAAACTGATGAGTTTCTGAATATTTAAGCACAAGTCTTGCTGGTCTTAACTTGTTTTAAAGAACTTTTATCATTTAAAAATTTTTATTTTTTTTTTGTGATTAGTCCATTCCTTCTAAAAAAAAATTAATAAACTCGTAAGTCATTTATGGTAAGCCAAAATCAGCCCCAAACACATGTACAAAAATGTGCTCTTACTCTTAAAGTATGCAAAATTAATCCAAATGGTAAAATTTTCCATTTAAATCAGTACATAAGCATCCATATATCAAATGTTAGGGAATTATAAAATTCTTTAAAGTAAATGCATTGAAAAAAGGAGAATGCAATTGTTGATCCCATACTAGTTCATAAAGCAACTTTTTGAAGAAATGATAAAAATTCTTAAAAGTAAATGCATTGAAAGAGATCAAATGTAGTTGTTTCCCTTCCCTCTGATCACCTTACCTGCTATCTGAACAATGACCTTGACGTAATGTTCCGCAGCCTGAGCCTGTTTTGATCTCAGTTTACTGCTCAGAGAACTGACTGCTACACCAATGAAGACTGTCTTAAAGAATCCAACCTTCTGCATCACCAGCAGTAACTCCACAGCCCGTCGTAACTCATATATCTGACCTAAAAGAAGAAATTAAAAAGACTGTGTTAGAGAATCCGACCTTCTGCATCACTGAGAGTAACTCATATATCTGACCTAAAAGAAGACATATCAAAAAGATGGTCTCAAGTTTACGATGACAAAGGACAAATTTTGATCAGAAAAGCTCACTTTAGCCTTTGGCTCAGGTGAGCTAAAAAGGGCATATTAATGAATCAGACCTTTGATCTGCATTTCTATCAGTACCGTAGCTCAAGGCAGTTTTTACTGACCTGGGTAAAATTTAACATATATTTATTAAGAAACATTAACTAAAACTGCTATATGACCATGTATCATCAAGTGCAAAGGTAACAAACAGAACATGACTAAATTATCATTTTTATCAATGTGTTATTTAGTGTGTGAGAGCATACATTCAGCAAAGTTGGTAAAATCTTTAATTTTAATACATGAACCATTTTTTATTATACACTCAGAAGTAAGAACATTTCTCTGGTTCTTATTCACTGGATATTTAAATTTTTACCTTGGTTGCTATGGAAATCAGCACATTTTTGCTCAATCTCTTTAACCATGTGTTGTAGAAGGACATTATTCTGGTGAACACACAGGTCCCAATTTACCAGCTTCTTCAGGCAAACAGAAATCTAAAAATGCAATTTTGAAAAATCAGCTCAATATCTGCTCAGGTATAAAAAAACTGACATACAAAAAACAAAGGGATAGAGCATAGAGGGGTGAGGAAGAAACTTAAAGCTTTTTCCTTTGATTTCACCTGTAGCTAGGGGACAAACAAAACACTTTACCTTAGCGCCCTTGTCTTTCAGCTCCTGGAGGTCTTTCATTATAACAGCCTCCATAACAACCAACACTGGACTTGTTCCTGCAATGAATTATAAACAAGTCTGTAATCTTCAGCAGATCTGGTACAATCACTAGATTTAGCTACGTAGCTTGATTTACTTACTTAGCTTTATTTACCTACCTGAGGTAGCTTTATTTAGCTACCAAATCAATTCATTTATATAAAAAAGCATTTTTCTCAGGATTTGCAGAAAATCTCATTTTGATGCAGAGATCATTTTCAACTTTGAACTCATCTGAAAACAATTCATGTAAAATCACTCTTGAAGAATTGTCTTTTTCTGCACAATTTCAATAAGAGTTCTGAAAGTTTTGAGGCTATGTATGACAGTTAGAACAGTTACTCCTTGAATGAAATGACAAAGAAGTGCAGTTCTGGTTATCATGATAATAGGTCCGTAATTATTCAGCACAATGTGAACTTATCATACTCAGTCATGCCTCACTGCACCCAATAGAGAGGACAGTTAAGTAACCAAACAATGGAATTACATGTTTTGCTCCGAATTGTCCGAACGCAGCAATGTATAAACTATCTCTGCTTCGGATTTTTTTTAAAAACTCAGTAGTATAAATATTGATAGACTAAGTCTTTTAATTGCGATTTTTTGTCTCTTTTTAATAAAAAGAAAAATTGTGAAAAGTTTCATTGAAATAGCTAAATAAAGCTACCTGAGGTAGGTAAATAAAGCTACATATGTAATTCTACCTACGTAGCTAAATCTAGTGACTGTACTGGACCTGTTCAGAATGTTCAAAACAAAACTGAGAATTTCCCTTTGTACAGTAATCCTTAGGGCATTATTCAAAGCAAATTATTTAAAATGATTCAACTGTCAATTAGTTCAAAACAACCAATAACATTTGCTACAGCTGTCTTTTCATATAGTTTCTATGTTACGTACCTGCTGGGTTTCTATAGAGACATTGTGGCCACACCCCAGCAATGGTCACAGCAATCATGGCCGCGTTGAGATATTTACAGGTCATGACGTGGTAAAAGAACACCCTGACATACTCCATATCACCTGGTAAATCAGAAATAGAGAGGATTCTTCATCATTTATTTATAAGAGACCTCAAACTCGGGCTCAGGAAAGCTAGAAGAGATTTTTTTGTTATGGACACATTATATACTTAGAGACTCTGCTCATAATACAGATAATGTTTCAAATCAAGAACTCACCTGCTTCATGAAGAATTCCAACAAACATCCGACTGGAATTATAAAAGAAGAGTTTTTCAGATTTTTTTTAGATATCTGGTGAACTTAAAACTGTACAAGCATGATCGGCTATCATTAAAATGTCCAAAAGAAACAGTAAAATTATGAGCATTCATGTTTTTCATCATATCAGAAAAATACTGCATGAGTTCTACCCACCAAAGAGCCAGTCTGCTGGTCAGGTTAAGTGAATCATGACAAAATATGGACGTCCACAACAAATCTAGGAGCTGATGTCTCTGTACACTCTACCAACAATTTGGAAGAGTTATAGTTTAATTAAAATGAGACTTGGCATAATGAATTGTATTAAATTTTATACTGCTTAGATCATTTAATATGAATTATTACTTTTTTTAAATTCAGAATTCAAGTACATGTAATTGGAAATAAGGAAATTGCAGACTACTGTTGTCAATAAATACAGTACAACTGTACTATATTTTCACTGATTGTAACATAAGTGCTGCTCAACCAAGTTTAGTGATGTTATTTTAAAATGGACACAAATGTTAAAAGTGCATTTTCTTAATTCCACACTTTAAGTACTGTAAATATATTCAGATGAACTTACCCAGTCAGGAATTTTGAACAGGAAGCTGTAGAACTGTAAGAGCCTGGTCTCCCCTGGAGTGAGGAATGGATCAGTCCTGGATTGACAATCACTGCTGTAGGCACAGTAACAGTGGATCGTACCAAACAGCTCCATCTGCTGGCAACGTAGGTACTGACGGAAAGGAAAGAGTGAAATAGTCAGAAAGAAATTCACAACTTAATATAGAAACATGCTTTCAACATTGAAACAGTATGATATATCCTAACATTCAATAATGTAAATTGTTCTATATTCTTTATTACAATATCTATTATCTTTTCTATTTATATATGACTTTTGTCTGATAAAATGCTTTACATAAAAGTTTACAATCCCTGGCTGCTTTAAATTCATTTAGACCAGGTACATGTACATTTTGCAGCTTTGTATAACACTCTGCTACAATCCCAAATACTATATATAAATGTTTATCACAGCCAAAACAAGCATTTATCAATTCATACAATGTGTTCAACAGACGTAGACATCAAGCCTAGCTGCTACAATCTTGACTGCTGCGGCCATGATTTTAATGAGAATTTATTTTCCTTACCTGGACTGTCCACTGCAGTAGATGCCTTGACATGGTGGAGTGGTCAGCTAGGGGAACCAGTTTATCTACCATTGTCTGCTCACTGATGTCTGATTTATCCAGGTATAACTTCATCTCAGCCTCAATCACTACAACAAACAGGAGAGCTTATAATAATATTAGCATCAGAAAAAGAAGAATAGCAGTCTAACAGCTGACATTCAGGTTCAGTGAATATTTTTCAAGTTGTCTCCCTTAAAAGCAGAACATGTAACAATGACCACAGCTATTAACATTTTCAAGAAGTTAGCATTTATAATTCCACGTAAATGAGTCAACAGAAATTGAAACATGTAATTAGTTTCCATCTTAAACACTGGGAAAAGTGTACAGCCCCATATTATTTTCATTTGATATCACATTTACGGTTAAACGTGATTTCTGTGAGTCATTTCAGTTGCCAAAAGTGAAAACAAATGTCAGAATTAGACAAGAAAATGTTAATCTTCAAGTTCTTATAATCAGCAATTATAATTTAAATTTCTAGATTTTAGCTTCATACATGTATTACAGATAATGGTTTTGAATAGTATTATACCTTTATGAAGATTAGATTTATCTGTGACAACACTGGATTCTTTTGATGTAGAGGTTTGGTTTTCAAAACACTGAAAAATAAATAAAAGCATGAATTTCAAACTGAACTCATACAAAACTATGAGAAATTGGTTGATTATATATTCATTAATTTATCTCATAATAACCAATCTGTGGCTGGTGTACTTAAAATGGTGTACATGTTGGCGAGTCAATATTTAATTTAAAAGTGTCCCTTATTAAGGAGTGTTGTTCTGTTTCTCCAGAAATTCAAAATATAAACTGGCCTCATAATACATGTATATACAAAATACACACATCAGATCAGTATTACATGTTCTCTCGTCATACTTAAGCCCATTAATTAGAGAACGCAATTGTGTCAACACTTTAAACAAGTAGAACTTTGAAATACATTTTAAAAAAACAAAATTTTTATCACTGTAAACCAACTTTTATTCACTATGAGAAATATATGTCAGTTTGGCCTTTCTTTGCTTAGAATATTTAAATTTCTTGTTGCAAACCTTCAAAATTATATTGACTTTCAGCTTGACTGTTTTAAGCTTATGATCTTTAGACTGGATGTTCTTTTTTTATTTCTCTGTTAATTGAAGGAATAAATCTCGATATTAAATCCCTTGATCCACCCCCTATAGATCTAGATCCACTCCCAGTAAAATGAATCTACCTGTTTCTTCTCCTCTGGGATGAGAGTACTGTGGTCCTGACTTCTTCGCTTCCTCACAGCTGCTGACTTTGACCTTTTTGATGAAAAAATACATTTCAATACAAAAAATTGCACCGCACATTATACCTTGAAAAACTTATCAAGAGAAAAACTGCATCAGAAACACCACTGTGACAGAATCTGCCTGGATTGAACGTGATCTTGTCAAAATGACTTTCTGTCATCTCACATTACTTTGTCATGTGCAATCATTGCTTAGTATCAAGCTTCTGACATGTCTTATTACACGCAGCATAAGAAGTCTGATAATACATGTATTTTCATATTAAGGAATTCTATTCAGCATTCATCCATCACATAGTACACTGAATCTACGATAGGTATACATACCCTGATTTCTCCTGGTTCTGGTTGACAGTTCCCTGTGTGGTTTCTTTATTTTTCTGAGGTCTGACTGCTATTGCGTCGGGTGGTGCCACTGCATGAAATGATTGAGGAGCACCACCAGACTGTTCAGTTTTCCCATTAGACTGAGTGGACCGACTGGTCTTTGTTGCTGCAGAAACATAACTCTGTGTTGAAACCGTCTGAACTTTTTTCTTGGTGACTGATGATATTTTGGATGATTTGACAGATGATATTTTAGATGATTTGACTGACGATGATTTAGATGACTTTAACTTCAAAACTTGTGGGTTCTCCTGTGAATGATCCATCGACTCTTCACACTGGGAGGACGACTCAAACAGGCACTGATCGTCTAGATCAAAGGGGGATGTACACAGAGGGGAAATGGGGGCCATCTCACGAACGGGTGAAGGGGGGAGGGGCGAGATGGGGTTGGGAAGAAAAAAATGAAAAGGTGATGGGGGCAGGGGTGAGACAGGGGGGTGAGAGGTGGTGGTGTTCTCTGGGCGGGGTTGGGAGGGTAGGTTCTCCATCTCAGGTGACACTACGGTACTAGAGGCCACCACAGCAGAAAACCTAGACTTCTGAACCAGCACTGAAAGACTAGGTATGTACACTAGGGAGGGACTACGGCTGCCTCCCTCAGATAATGAGGGAGGTCTGTCAGAGTAACTAGCACTAGAGGTGGAGGATTGAGCAATTTCTGATTCACTGGTTTTCAAGTCACTTTGTTTGATAGTCTGTTTTGGATGTCTATTAGCACCACTAACATCACTGGAATTTGAAGTAGAGTTAGACACACAAGTCACTTCCTCCTGTTGAACTGAGTCTTCAAAATGCAAAGAAAGTTTCTCAGAAGTTTGTGGTACATTCAATTTAGAATAACATCTTGCATCAAGAGATGTCTGTTTAGAATTGTCTGCTATATCCTCTTCAGACTGATCACCAAATTCACAAGTTTCAGTAACATTTACACTATGTTGAACATTTTGCTCTTCTGTTGAAGTATCAGAATTTCTGTCCACATTTTTCAAATTTCTTCTTGGACTTTTTTCACTGTTCACTGATTCCGGTGTGTGAACCAGACTGGTCTCTGCTCCTTTCTGTTTGGGTGTGGATTTTCCTGATTCTGTCCCCGAGTCACCACCACTCACCATGAATCCCATGCTCCCCTGGCGAGGGAGTGAACTCTCCAAATCAGGGTCATCCTGATTCAGTTCTGAATTGAATTCTCTGATCCCCTCCTCCTTAGAAGAACACTGATTAAGTACATCATCAGCCTCAACATTCCCTGTCGATACTTTTTTTACAGCAACATTTACATTACTTTTCACTTTCTGGTTTGAATCATTTGTCTTATGAGAAAAGTCACATGCCACACTTGAAGTATCCTCTGTCCTTGGGTCACTGTCACTAGTGTTTAACTCACTGTGTCTCTGTGCCGGATGCACTACAGATCCATCACCACTCCCTTTCACATCTGCAGTCTCTTTGGACTGTACAACAGCAGTAGTGAAAGACAACCTGTAGGATTGTTTACCTTTCTCAGATGGTAACACAACAGGAGGGGATTTGAGGACCCGGGGTGAGCGTAAAGCAAACCCCAAACTCTCCTGCCTACACACAACTCGGGTGGCACTTTCACTGCTTTCCACCTCTTCCACTCTGTCTTCCATATCACCTTTCCCTCTTTCCACTTCTCCATCTTCCACATGTTCCTCTTTAATAACCTTCATCTCCAATTTCTCTGAATCCCCTTCTTTCTTTTTCTTCCCACTTGGAATTTTCATTCTTGACCTTGACCTTTGACACAGGGTATCTACCTCACTGGGGGGTATCAGTAGAGTCTTACTCCTAGTCACTCGGACTGGTGGTTTGTTGGGGACTAACTTCTTTTCTGAATTTTCTTCACTAATTGTTTTTGTTTGATGAGGAAGGTCACTGCTACCACTAGACTTTTGCTCACTTTCCTCATTGTTTTTATTTCTCAGAGACCTTCTGGGGCTTTCATGAACTGCTTTCAATTTGGAATCACAACTTTCAGATTTTTGACTGGGATTTTTCTGGGATAAAGACATGTGCCGTCTCTTTCGAGTTCTAGGAGAACTGACTCCTACTTTAGAGGAAGGAAGTTCACCATCAGGCAGACTGAGGGATTTTCTCAAAGTTCGTACTGACAATGCAGATTCTATATCTAAATCTACCGCAGATTTATCAGTTAATTCATCATGTTCATGCTTTATGATTTTATTTACTTTTGTGTCTATATTACCCTTTTCACCCACACTGTCACTAACATCTTCCTTGGTGACTTTTATCTCCTCTGAACACATGCTATCTGAGTCGTCTAGAGTCTCGCTGACCGGTCTAAAACCTTTCAAACACTCAATCCTCTTGTGGTATACATTGGAGGAGCTCTCTTTCACATTTTTACTATTATCACAGATAAGTTTAGAATCTCTTGAAAATCCAGAATCACCGGAGTGTTTTGGTATTACCCTCTCCTCAATCCTTGCCTCAGTTTTCTCCTGTTTATGAGAACTTTTAGAAAATTTCTGAAATGCGGAGTTGTGATGACCACTGAGTATTGGTTTGGGGTTCACATGGGAGACTTCAGAATTGACCTCCCCCTGAAGAGCCTCAAAGTTAGAACTCTCCTCAGCAGTGAAGTTTATCCTTTTGATCCCCCTCAGCTCCTGGGTAGCTCCGTCGTTGTCTCTTGCTGTCTTGTCCTGACCGATCACAATACCTCCCCGGTGACTGTGGATGGTCACCTGTTTGGTTCGTATTTCCTGGGTGGACACAGTGGTGTGAGGGTCCCGCGAGAGGGGGGAGGGTGGAACCCGTTTCCTTGGTGACCTTCTGGGGGTAGGGGAAACATTTAGAATTTCCTGTTCTAGTTGTTCTGCCATTTCATCTAAATCATCATCACTTTCATCATTATCTTCTACTTCCTAACAAGCAAAAAAATGAACATCACTTATATTCAGGTTTATATTTCTTAAGATGTAATTGTGCATTAATTTAAATACCTATGAACATTAAATTTGAATTCCGGTAGTTCTTATCTTACATTTTAGAAGTTTTAGATAAAAAAAATTAACAGAATATTATTGTTGACTCAAATTTTTTCAATTGAATTATATCGAACTGGTCATAAAATCAAACTAAAACCTTCAATTCATTGGATTTTTTTTGGGGGGGGGTTACCGCTCTTTCAGGAGGATACATTTTTTAAATAATTATGAAATAAAAACAGCTAAAAAATAACTAGAATACTTTGTCATTGAAAGCATCAGGGAATGGTATATCATAGTTTTCTGTTACAAATTCTCTGAAGTAGAGAATTAGAACCTGTGAGATTAGAGAGCCGGGATGACTGCAACTGTAAGTTTTATGTTTCTGAGGAGTGTGAAAAAGGGGTAGGTAATTGGGACCATATGCTTACCCTTCGATAGAAGTACAGGGGAGGGAGAGATATTTGGAACTACTTTTTGTAGGGGGATGGGGGAGGTAATTGGGGATTTATGTTACCTTCTAAAAACTACTGGGGAGGTGGAGATAATTGGAGCTGCATATCTTTTCTTTTCATAAGTATTGGGGGGGGGGGGGGGGGAGGAAAAATGCACTGTACTTAGGATAGTGCCTTTTTGTAGAAGACTGGGGGAGGTGGAGATCATTGGGACTGAATGTCTTAGTAAACTTTCTGTAGAAGATTGAGATGGGGAGATGTCTTACCTTCCTATAAGACTGTGGGGAGGGAGGAAGGGGGGACAGGACTGACACCAGGGGACTGAACGTGAAGGGGAATTCCAGTAAACTGGTCTCCTCCTCCTGGAACTCAATCTTCGGTTTCCTCTCCTCAGAGCAGACAGTTTCTGACTTCATCTTTATCATGCTGACCTCACAGTGCATTCTGGGATTGTCTAGGTCCGAGTATTGCTCTTTATCAGAGGCAGAAGCTGAATCCACCCACTCTTCTGTGAAATATGATGCTTCAGTTTAAAGGTGCCATAGAGTAAAGCATTGTGAAAAATATTGTACCCGATATGTAATCCACAAAAAATGTTGAAGACATTTCTTTGTTTCAGGTGAAATTCAAAATACTTAATTAGGTGTGTCTAAAGGAAAATAAGGTAACTTTTTGTATTAACAACTTCATCCAGATTTATTCTATAGTGCACATTGATAATTAACATGATATCAAATTAATCCTTTATCACATTAATAGACAAGACAGATATAAACACCTACCCTCCTCCAGTAGGGGCATCTCTTTAGGAGGGGCACCTGTCCCCGCCCCCTTTGTGACCCGCAGCAGTGTGTCCTGGTTAGAAGGTAGAAGGCCTGTTGGAACATTGAGAAATATAAACTAGAAATAAAACACATTAGTTACTACTGAAAAATACAACTAGTCAATGGTCACAAAAGTACTTAGAGTAATCAAGTGTAATCAGCATGGTATGATTAAGTCAGTTAATGTGATTGAATTCAGTTACATACATGTAGCTTTATTGATGAGGGCTGCATCTTTTTTAATCAGGTTTGTGTCATATATGAAATGTTTTACATGTACCGTAATTCGGGGAGTACAATACGCACTTTTTTCCTAAAATAAATTTCTGTGAGAAAGGGATGCGTATTTTACATCACAATGGGATTTTGACAAGTTTTTCTTTCAGGTGAAACACGGCTATCATACGTACATACCGTAGTATTACTTAGAGACATATGCAATTTCTATTGTTAATTGCCATATTTTAAACTTCGGAAAGTTATTGTTGGAAGGTATGCTTCTTAAAAATGTCACTTTCATAATCTTTTGATACCAAAATAACATGAAAAAGTAAGTTAAAAGTAATTTGAGCTGCATGTTGATTGTCTCCGAGGAGGCCGCCATTACCGATGTTATTTTTAGAAGTTCACTCATGGCTATGTCACGTGCTTCCGTAATGATAGTGCACATGCACCTTATCTGCCAGACAAAAGTAATAAATCATTTTTTAATGAAATACAACAAAATAAATATTAATTTTAGGTTTAAAATAACTCAATGATAATCCAACAATATTAACACCCCTCCATACGTCCCAATGAAAGGAAGCCAATGTTGTGACACACGTGCGCTGGTCAAATGATAATTACCTATCAACACCCCTCGGGGCAATTAATTGTCTACCGACTCCAAAGCAATCTAGCAATGTTTTTACAGTTAGAGCACTGATTATTTACTGCCATGTTAATTGCTTTGATTATTTTCTTTATTAAAAATTGGGGGTCGGTTTATGACCATTCGTATGTGTGAGCATGTGTTGATTACGGCACATTAAACAATTAAACACTTGTTAAATGTAATTTTACCTTATCTTATACTTATCGGCCTCTTGTTTAAATAATTGAGAGTTGAGAAATGAAATATAAATTATGCTAAAACTTTTAATAAAAGTGGTATCGTTTAGAAAATAAGATATCCGCGAAGATTCAGAAGAGGAAAATCGTAGTCTTCTTAAAGAAATAAATACTTTGATGTTTCAATTTCGTTTCCTGTTAAAATATTGATTATCTAGAACCAAAATTAAATATGACAACTGATAAAACTTTTGACAATATCTCTTGCTTTGTTGAAATAAAATTATTTCATCCAAGAATATGGCGATGCATAATTTCAAAATCACCGTAATTATTCTTTAAAAAAATCTGTTAATACTTTTACGCAACATTATCTTGTGCTTTGTTGAAATAAATGAATAAATAATTTTCTCAAGATTGCTGCAATATGGAATGTCAGGATTAAGAGAAAGTTATAAAGTGTGTATTTTAAAAAAAAGTGTGTTCAGTAAATTTTTTATACTTAATCCTCGCGCCGATTTTCGTAACAAATTACCGCGATTTTCATAGTTCAGAACATCGCTTGGTAAATTTTTCTGTTGCGTATAATACATCCGAACTGCGTTTTTTTCCCCAGTTTCAGACTCAAAAAGGGGGGTGCGTATTTTACATCAATGCATATTATACTCGGCCAAATACGGTATTTACCTGCATACAGACCTAATTATCAGTTTTATCACTTTGTTTACTTACCATGTTTTATTAGAATCTGTCTGTATCTGTTGACCATGTCCTGTAACAGAATAAGCCAAGTTAATATTTGAAGATTTTATGTGTAAGAAAGTTATATTTCATTTTTTCAAATAAATACAAGTGCATCAAATGAATGAAACATATATTGCACACCCATTATAAACTGCATTAATTTTTTTATTTGAATAAAAGGAATTGTTTGAAACATTTGCTGTATAGATGCAGGGAAATTTTCACCCCTATTTCTTCGCCCTTTTTGCCCTGTTCAAAGTTGGGCGAAATTAAAAACGGGGCAAATTCAAAGAACATAGCATAGTTTCATAACAGGACCATGACTGGGCAATGGAGCAAAATTGCTCACTAGTGTAAAAGTGTGAAAATAACAAGGGGCAAAATAATCTTGTATACAGTAGTTCTGTGATTCACACTTGGAATTTTGGATTAAATTAAAACATGCACTTCCCAGCTTGATCACTATTTCAACAGTATCCCTCTAGATGCAAACTGGATATCAGTCATGTTTTATCTATTATGCTTAAATTATAAAATATTCAAAAACAGTCCAAGTGCCCTCAAATTTCTTCAAAAGTAAAATATGATCTGACATTCCTTTGACCTTTAATTTGTTGACCTACCTGTGCCTTAGCCAGACTTTCCTCTGTCTTTTTTTCTCTCTTTTGACTTTTACCATTGTCTTTTTTTAAAACTTTGTTGTCCTCTGCAAAATAAACAAATTAAATAAAACACTTTTAGAAAATTGTTACCAGGTAATAATTTTTATACAAGTCAATATAGATTCAGTTTTGTCTCTCTTATCCTTCAAATTCTTTCTTAGGGCAAAGATAAATGATTATTAATCTAAGATCTCTATAACTACAGAGTCAAGACCAATAAATTGTGAAGGAGACTGCAGAGTTCAAAAGATACTCAGGTGACTGCCAAGGCCTGTGGGCCTCTTATTTCTCTAGTCCACTGTAGTTAGATAAACTTATCATAACAGGTACCTGTCTCCAACACATATCTTTCAGCTGGGTGTTTATTTATCAAATATCTGTCTACTTTTCTTCCTTGAAAATCAGGTTAAACAAACATAAGTTCATTCACATATAAGATGTGTTAAAGTGATCTGTCAACTTGAAATAAATACATGCTTGACAAGGTAGCAAAATTTTGCTAAAAGAAACTACATACATAAATTTGCATTGAAAACATTTCTGTAGGAGACACAAATGTATTTTTATGAAGATTGAAATTGATTGTATGTTGTTTAACGTCCCTCAGAAAATGTTTTTCCACTCATATGGAGATGCAACACTTGTCGGTGGAGAGCTACAAAAGCCATTGAGCAATGAGGGATCTTTTTCATGCCCGCACCTACTGCGACAAGGGACTTCGGTTTATACAGTCTCATCCGAAGAACCGGTCTCCACGTCCCACAGTTACAGGATTCAAACCTGTGACATAAGAGTTGACTCCTTATTTCACAACTCTATAGCAGACCCTCTAACCACTGCGCCACACAGGTGACTTTTTTTATGAAGATGGTCGGCTGCAAATACTTGCAGTTACAAAGCTGTCATCATTTGGAGGAAAGAGACTTTTTCAATACAAAAAATTGTTCAAATTGTATACAAGGAAAAAAATAAATCTTCCTGTATATTTTTTTTTTGGCAAAGTGCATATCCTGGGTTAAAGGAAACAAAGTCAATGTACAATGAATTCATACTAAGGGTTCCAATTAGACTGCCTTTATCAAAATATGATATGCATGTGCTTTTGCTTCTAAAAGTAATAAAATTTTCAAGTATATATAAATAAGTTAAAAATTTGCTCATTGATAAATTGTTGAAATAGCAGCATTTATTATATTATATATTATAGCGCTGATTTATTTTCTCTCCTAATTGTACATTAATTTGACAGCATTTTTTGCATCTTTTTACTAGGAATTTATTCCTCAATTGATATTTAATGAACTGATAACTCTTAAGTTCAACCAAATTATATTGTATATCAGTTTCACATAGTATGTATGTAATTCTTGTAAATTACAATCCCTGATTAAAATCTTCATTCAATTTTAAATTAATTCACAGGAGCTGCAGTTAAGACAGGAAAACATGATATTAATACACTTGTAACCTCCTGAGCCTCTCTGTTCAATATGTCCAAAAATAAAGACACATCCTGGATTATCTGTTTATTCTTTCACCTGCTTTGTGAATAAACAGAAAGCACACTGACTTGTGAGAAAATGTGCATATATATGCAGGTATGTGTCACTATATTTGTAAAGGCCTATTTTGTAGATATTGGGGGGTATTTAAATCTCAAAACTATTTGGTATCTCTGATGTAATTTGAACCCCCTGATAAGATTTTACCTACGCTAGGTATATACGCTGATCCTCACCTGTGTCAATTACAGAGTTAGTACTTATAGTGGGACTTAAAAGAACAATGTGACATGAAGAAGTAAACAGGTTAGTGATTTAGTTTAGACTTAGTGGTACATATATATATATCTACTAATTCTGACTTCAATTATCTGGCAGTATCTTCATTTAACTTTCGAAATCGATGGACAATATACATCCAATATATATTCTATAGGATCTATACTGATTAACAGTGAACTTCAAATATCCTTGACACACATTTGTTAAGTTCTGAATTTTAAGACAATGTAATAACCATGCACCTAGTACTATGGATAATTTCAAGGAACTCTTTGCATTTTTGACAATTACGTTTTTATTTACAGATTAATTTACAGATTAATTGGACTTATACAGCCATGTATACCATAACTGTACAATGCCTTTGATTCTAGCACTATACATCATCTTACCACAAAAAAATTGAAAGATAATTTGTACAGAGGGGTCTAAAATTAAAAAAAAAAAAAGGCTAGTAATCATCTAATATTTCCTTTATTTTTAAAGATTTTTATTTTCCTTAAAGTTAAAAATACATACTTTCATTTTGGACCATCAACCTGCTAGACATTTTTTTTTGTCATATGACCTCAATACAGTTGCATTTTTTAAAATATGACCTAGGATTCCCTGATCAATACTGAGTTTCCTATCGGTTTACTGATTTATCTATAATGCTGTGAATTACTCTTATAAATTTGATTTTTAAGGTCATACGCAATGTACTTTGAACTTTACTGGGTTCCTCCCTGGAGTTGAAGAGTTCCACTAAATGAAGGACCAGTGTGCAATACTTTTAATGTCTTTGTTTGGATTTTTACACCTCTTTTAACACAAATTTTGATAGAAAAAATATCTGGAATTCATGTTTTGTAATTTTTATACATTTTTCTTAAAATAATGCAAAATTTTTCATAATTTGATATCTTTTCAAAACCCCTGGTAACGCATGCTGATTTTTTGTCCAAGAACATATAATGGTCTTATGAGTTTAAATTTAAAAAATCTTGAAAAATTATCAGTAGGTAAGGTACGTTGCGTTTGTCCTTAATTGTTCAAACTTCAATTTGAACACAGCATAAATACAATGTAGCATACATTTTACAACTGAATAAAATATGTAATAATCATACCATGCTGAAACATGCCAAATTTGGCTTGCATCAAGATATTTTATCTTTTACCTTTTCCTGATAGCAATATGCATGCTAAAACAGGAAAATGCTTATTTGGGTTGCATCAAGATATTTTATCTTAAGTATATTTCCTGTTTTGTAGCCAAGAAAAAAAAGTGCAAGATGATCCATCTAAGGACACTGTTTGTTACACTTCTAGTTATCTCCCTTGCTTCTGCAGAGGATGCCGAGCTCAAGGTCTCACCACCAGAGGCCGCCGAACAGGCGGGAAAAACCACCACATTTGAATGTACCGACCCAGAAAACGAGGCGGCAAAACTAATGTGGCTGTTTCCTAACCAAACCTCAATAAAAGACAGCATGGATTCTAGGTTTGAGGACAATAACGGAACGTTGTCCATCTCCGATATCAGGAAAGGTGACGAGGGGGAATATATCTGTACGACCTCGTCACGTGACTTAAACGCGACGGGAACGTTAATCATTTACGTGATGCCGTCATACTTTACTGAGGCCATGATAGTGATGGGGATAAATATAGTCCTCGTGTTGATTTTCATTGGCTGTGGAATACATCAATTCATACAAGGCAGGAAAATGAAAACGAACTTGAAGAAACATGACACTACATAGTCAAGTAGTCATAATATTAATTTTAGTAAATATTTTTCAAATTCTAACTTGAAATCACTTAATCCTGAATATTATGTTGATACTTCAAATATTTGCCAAATTTAAAAATCATGTGCTTATGGTACTTAACTTCAAATGTCACTCTGAAGAGAATAAATTTATAACAACTTTCATTTTCAATGATGACCTGTTTACCCTATATCAGGATATCAGAATTCATGACAGTGGGAAAGGGAGATATTTAAATTATATAGTAATTTAAAAATGTGCTTATGGATTTAAACTATATAATACTTAAATTCAAATGTCACTCTGAAGAGAATAAATTTATCACAACTTTTTTTTCATTTGATTTGTTTATGACCTGTTTACCCTATATTAGGCCAAAAAAAATTAATCAAGAGTTCATGACAGTGGGAAGGGGAGACATATTGAAAAGGAAAATAATTCAATTTTCTATTTTTCCAAGTTGAAAAAGAAAACTAGTACATGTATGTAGTAACTTAAAAATAATTCTTCTAAATTTACAGTATTTTATGAATTAACTTTTAAAGGAAGAATAAAAATTTAAAGTTTCATATTGTAACTAATTTCAAGAAAAAAAAAAGGAGATTAATCCATTTTTTCAAAATTCATTTGATTTGTTTACGAGCCTGCCTGGAAAAAAATTTTTTGCAGCTATTTATATTAATTACTCGTAAATTTGATGTCAGTCATATCAATTACTTGTAAATTTGATGTCAACATAAAATAAGAATAATTATAGCCACTATTTGTTGTTCTTCTCCTTCTTTCTGTTATAAAACTACAAATAGATCCCTTACAACAAAATTATTCAGAGAGAAACATTTTTTCTGGAGTCCATATAGTAATCTAGCCTTAAGTTAACACTTTGCTACATTTTGTGATTATTTGTGTGTTTTGTGCTTTATGAAATTATTATTCTTGTATGCATATTTGACTGTAGTAATAAGTTTTTTTTTTTACCTTTTGTAGAATTGATACTCAATGAATTTATATGCCACAATGCAATAAATGCAAATAAATGTAATACATACTTCTCTGACATATTCTCACAATATTGATTTTAATTTGCATTATAAATATTAATTTCAAACTATAGTAATATAACATTTTCTATTACAGAAAAAGCTATTATTCTTATCAATGTATTTAGATAAACATATTTAGTTTATTTAACTGGAAGAAATTATATATTACATGTACTGTATGATGCAGCATGAATGTCTCATCAATTCAAAACCTGTCTATGCTGGTATTAAAGCTACAAGAAGATATAATTTGAATCATCTATCTGTGATTGGTGACGAAAAGTCCTATACTAAGGACTAAAATTTGGAAGTTTTTGACAAATCTGAATCCTAAAAAGCTTTATAAAAAATTATCCTTCACTAGTACACCATTCCAATATTCACTGTTTACGTCTTCTGGTCATTGAAATATAATACAGAGCGCAGTGGGTGACACAAACTCAATAGATTAATATAAAGAACACTTAAAAGACTTAGTGGACATGAAAAGTATGACAAAGTTTTGGGTGCTACATGAATTAAAACTGTGCTGGCTCCAGCTGTGGCACTGTAAAGTGTGTTGAGTGCTTGTCATGCTTTCCAGCAAAGCAAAAACTATGAATAAATGTTAAATGTGTATCAAAACTTACAGGACAAGATAGAAAAGTATTTAACTGTCTTTGTAGGAAAAGTGGAGGAGGAGGGGGGTCAATTAATTTACTGTACCTTTCAATTTGGTGATCTGTGATTCCTGCCTTTGATGACTGAAAAATAAAATTTAGAACAATTAGAGCAAAGAAATGATAGATACCTTATGACATTTATCTCAACCCCCCACCCCCAATAAAAACGTATTTGAATTAAACAATCCTCTCTACCTTTCATCAATAGGATTTTAATTTTCTAATCTTGTTTCTTCTTATTAACCATGAACGCTCTACCTCACAGATATTCTAGGTTCTTGTTTTTATTTACTAACCAATAACTTAAAGCTTTATCTCATGGATAATTTGTAGGTGTCTTTCAATTCCTGTTTGTGTTTTAATGTTACCTACCAGCACTCTAACTCATGAACTTTTCTGTTTGCGTTTTAAATAACCGTGCTTTTACTCACAGATATTCTTTGTTTTCTTTCCCTAGTTGAACTTTAATTAACAGACTTTTTTTTCTCTTTTCTTTTAATACTTTTTTAAAAGCTCTAATTAACAGACTTTTTTTCTCTTTTCTTTTAATACTTAAGCTCTAATTCACAGACTTTTTCTGTTATCTTTACCTAGTACCTGATCTATAATTTGCGGACTTTCTTTCTTTGTTTTTTTACGTACCTGAGCTCTAACTCGCGAACTTTCTTGGTGGCGTCTTTTAATTCCTGTTCATGTTTGTCTTTGTCTTCCAACAGTGACTTGTTCAGCTGCTCATATTGTGACTTGAAACTCTATAATAAAAGTCAAGGAGTTCACAGTACTGATTTATTTATAATATGCAAATGTGTAACTATCTGAAGGGCTTAACAATAAGTATGGAAAAAGTCAGTCAGCATTCTACTTAATTCAAAATAGGTTATTTTTTTTGGCAAACAAGGTCATTGAGTGGACCACAGAACTTGAAAAAGTATAGGTTTCCACTAACTTCTTTTTTATAAATTACCAGGGTAAGACATTATGTCAGGATTTGATCAGAAGTTACCTGTCCTACTGTTTTAACATTGTGTCAGGATTTGATCAGGAGTTACCTGTCCTACTGTTTTGAAATTGTGCCAGCATTTAATCAGGAGTTACCTGTCCTACTGTTTTAACATTGTGTCAGCATTTAATCAGGAGTTACCTGTCCTACTGTTTTAACATTGTGTCAGCATTTAATCAGGAGTTACCTGTCCTACTGTTTTAAAATTGTGTCAGCATTTAATCAGGAGTTACCTGTCCTACTGTTTTGACATTGTGTCAGAATTTAATCAGGAGTTACCTGTCCTACTGTTTTAACAATGTGTCAGCATTTAATCAGGAGTTACCTGTCCTACTGTTTTGACATTGTGTCAGCATTTAATCAGGAGTTACCTGTCCTACTGTTTTGACATTGTGCCAGCATTTAATCAGGAGTTACCTGTCCTACTGTTTTGACATTGTGTCAGCATTTAATCAGGAGTTACCTGTCCTACTGTTTTGACAGTGTGTCAGCATTTAATCAGGAGTTATCTATCCTACTGTTTTAACATTATGTCAGCATTTTATCAGGAGTTACCTGTCCTATTGTTTTGACATTATGTCAGCATTTAATCAGGAGTTACCTGTCCTACTGTTTTAACATTGTGTCAGGATTTGATCAGGAGTTACCTGTCCTACTGTTTTAACATTGTGTCAGCATTTAATCAGGAGTTACCTGTCCTTCTGTTTAAACAATGTGTCAGCATTTAATCAGGAGTTACCTGTCCTACTGTTTTGACATTGTGTCAGAATTTAATCAGGAGTTACCTGTCCTTCTGTTTAAACAATGTGTCAGCATTTAATCAGGAGTTACCTGTCCTACTGTTTTGACATTGTGTCAGCATTTAATCAGGAGTTACCTGTCCTACTGTTTTGACATTGTGTCAGCATTTAATCAGGAGTTACCTGTCCTTCTGTTTAAACAATGTGTCAGCATTTAATCAGGAGTTACCTGTCCTACTGTTTTGACATTGTGTCAGCATTTAATCAGGAGTTACCTGTCCTACTGTTTTGACATTATGTCAGGATTTGATCAGAAGTTACCTGTCCTACTGTTTTGACATTGTGTCAGGATTTGATCAGAAGTTACCTGTCCTACTGTTTTGACATTATGTCAGCATTTAATCAGGAGTTACCTGTCCTACTGTTTTAACATTATGTCAGCATTTGATCAAGAGTTACCTGTCCTGCGGTTACTTGATCTTTCAGATTCTGGATCTCCTGGACTCTTCTCTTCACTTCCTGCTCAAGCTTTACTTTATCCTACAATTAAAATCAAAACTAATTACAAATCAACACTGACCTACATACATAATATACTCTTTCTTACCAGAGTTGTCCAAGAACTTCATGTCAAAGTTACCCTAAAAATAATAATGAACCAATTTTTTTTTTTTTTTTTTTTGGGGGGGGGGGGGTGTTAAAGAAAAAACTAAGGGGTACACTAGTATCAAGAAGAATATTAATTAAAGATTCTTAAACATAATTATTCTACTCCAATAAAATCATGTTTTTAATAAATATCCTGTTTTCATGCTTTTGGTTCTTTGATTTCTTAATAAGATCATTACATTACCTTGTTCTTTGCAAAATAACTACTCTGTTAAAGGATTTACACTTTGCACTGTTTTAAATTCACCCTTTTGATGTAGGTGTGGAAATAAAACAGGTTGAAAATTTCCCTGTACAGTTATACGTACATGCATACATATTTAAAATTATCATGTAAAGGTTTTTCTTTATTTACAAATCCACTTTACCTAATATATATTTACATCCACTGAATATTTTCTTCTTTATTAGTTAAGAAAACCCATTGCGTTCATCCCTGCATAAACTACATTAGGCATATCACCTGTACAGATTTCTTGATCAGTGGCCGTTCCATCAATGAAACATACAAAGACGTTCGCATCATTAACACAATAATTAAAATTTTTAATCCTACTTAAAATGATAATTTAAACAGATATAAATATAAACAATAAAATGTCTTTCTTTGTTGTTACTGGAATGAACGGTCGCAGCTATTGCAGAAAAAAAATTACATAACCCGCTTATGCGGGTTATGTATTTTTTCTGCAACAGCTGCTTCCGTTCATTCCAGTAACAACAAACAAAGAAAGCATTTTATTGTTTAAGTATTGCATATATGTATCTGTTGGAAAAGGTGCCTCCTCCCCTTTTCTCTCCAACACAACACCAACCCCTTATTTAAAATTTACTAAGCATTTTAAGTACCTACTGAAATGATCATGCCACTGACATTTTAGATGAGTAAATTAAACTCACGCTCTCCTATTAACTCTCATGCATAGAAGAACATCCCTGAAAGCTCTCAAAGGGCCACATAATTGAAAGGTTAAATATCATATTTTATTCTGACAATAAAAAAAAATGACAATGTCAATGACAAAAAGGACTAATCTCGCATTTCATTCAGAAATTACTTTAAACTCTTTTGTATCTCAAAATTGATTGCATGTGTATTTGAAATCAACTAATCAGTTGTTTTTTTTTTAGTCCAAATGTTTTTCTCAAGTCAAAATAAACCCCTTCATCTTTACAATTTAGTGAACATCGATAAGAGACATGCTGAATAAGGTTAATATCTAACTTTAAAACAGTGGTTATCTAACATGCAGACTAGAAACTAGGTCATTGGCAAGCCACACACGACAAACATGGCTGCTTTAAGTTAATTGCTCAAAAAAATATCCCAAAAAAAGATAAAATAATGAGGGGGAAAATCTTAAACAAGGCTTGATAATTTTAATTAGACTGCATATTAATATGCATGTTTTACAAAACATACACGCATTGATATGCAAAAAAATTATTAAGTGGGTCATTAGATCAGGATGCACGTGACATTACACATATTTCTTTTCAGAAAACCTCTTTAGCTGGTAGTATAGGCTAGCAGCCATTACACTAGACGACATCCAGGCAAGTATTAACTGCAACATTGCAGAAATAATACATTACCTACACAGGAGGTAAAGTAAATTTGTTTGCCAAATTTACAGCAGATGATACACGTATCAACACGGAAATGTAGAAACTGTATTATTAAGTATATTATTTTATATTTGTATATTATGAAGAGGGTGCAGGTACATTATGTTTAAGTTTTTGCCAAAGGTCAAGATGTCCAAAAATTTATTTTTACAATAAATAACTCAAGAACTATGTGAGATATAAAGTTATTAATAACATGTACTTTTAAAGTTTAAAAATATACACCAAGTTTAAGAAGATGGAGCAGAAATATTTGGTGGAAAATCTTTATTAATTTTTTTAATTTTAATAAAGGATGCTTACAAAAATTATTCTTTAGAAAAAAATGATTCCTAATTCAAATTAGCAAACATAAAAATTTTTAATTGGTTGAACAATGAAGGAATATGAGAGTTTGGACCTCCAGTATGGCAGCCAACAGGAAATAGCTCTTACTACATTCTGGCCGGTCGAAAACTATTTATTATTTTACTTTTACATATTTTTTTTTTTTACTTTTTTTACTTTTTTTTTTACTATTTTTACTATTTTTTACTTTTACATTTTTTTGGATTGTGAAATTTAAAGGACTTTAAAAAAAAATTCACTTAAATTACAGGTCACAGTGACCTTGAAATAGGTCGTGATACACCTTCTACATGCCAAGTTTGATAGTTTTAGGTCTAATAGTTTTATAGTTATGAGCTGGACGGAGTTTTTCCATATTTGGCCATAGCATTTAATTAAAGGTCAGAGCGACCTACTTTTTTGTGTGACAGTAATATATGCTGTGATAGATTATAATGAACAGACAAATGAGAGAGAGAGAGGGAAAGAGATTTTAGCCCCCCCCTCCTTTCTCAGATATCTGCTGCATCAAATAAAAATTCTGATTATTTTTTCCAAGAATTCCAATTCCAGACAGTAAAGTTTTCATTTTTTGAATAAACAATTCCATTTGAGAGTCACCATCATCATCGCAAGCCACGGGTTTTGTGTCCGTTTGTGGAAATAGAATGGACACAAAACCCGTGGCTTGCGACAATGAGTCACCATCAGCTTTTATTTTCCTTCTTCAAGTTCACACGAAATCCATGTGCTTGTCCTGTCTATCAAAATCAGTTGACACAGTGCAGTATGTAACTATATGGAAAATCTCAAAACACCGAAGACAAAGAATAACTTAGTATTTCCAAAAAGTTTTAACCTTTTTCTATCATTTCTAGATCTGATCTCACATTTCTTAAAAAAAAAAATAATGAAAAATATTGAGAATATATACATGTACTTGGAGGGATTAGGTTTGAAACTAAATTTGAAACACCTACTCCCTGCCAATTTAAAATACCACTGTTTGCACATTATATTTTTAACTACTTTTGATTAAGGCCTAGAAAAAAATATGTTTGTTTCCGCTTTCAGGCTGAAAAAATATAGGGTAGGTAGGTAGGCTATTTTTTTTTTTTTTGAAAAAAATTTTTTTGCTTCTTTAATCAAAACGTGTATAGAAGTAACATTAATGACAAAAGAAATGGTGTTTTCAAGCATTACTGTTACTTAACTTATAACAGAAAGGTGACCCAAACTTCTTTCTGTCTTGAAAAGCTTGCAAAGTTGGAGGCTATAATATTCCCTGGTTGAAATCTTGCACATCATGGGACAAAAGCATTAAAAAATATTTAGGGTCAGCACTATAAATTAGGGTCGGTCGGGAAAGTGGAAACAACATATTTTTTTTCTAGGCCTAATGACTGCTTCGATACTTGTTTTAAGACTGAAATTTTTGTGATATATTACACATTAAATGTTAATTAAAATATACTGAAAATACTACATATACTAACTAGGTATTCAATTTGGGGGGAAAAGGTGTAGGGGGGATGGCAAACATATATTTACATGTAGTTAAGGTGAAGGTCACTAAGGAATTTTCCCTCTAATTATAGACTTTATAGACGTTAAGTAGACAAAAAAAAAAAAATATACAATTATGGACTCTTTTGGTGTTGAATATGGTTTGTTATTCACCAGAAAAATATTCATATTGACCGAGGCGAAGACGAAGTCGATATGAAAATTTTTCTGGTGAATAACAAACCATATTCAACACCAAAGAGTCCATAATTGTTTTATTATATAGTCGGGATTTGAATAGATAAGACATTGAAGGCTGTATGACGACACCATTTTCATTTGCGATCTTCCAGTGTTGAAAATAAAAAAATCTCCAGATTACTGTTTGTAACATCCGTGTTTTCCTTTCCGAGTTTGGCTATGTGTAAGACGCCCAGATTTTAAAAAATAATCCTGAAAAAGGTTTGAATAATTGTTTTCCTGCTCAGATACGTAGCTCGCTGCGGCAGTTGCAACCATTGTTTATAATGTTGTTTGATGTTTTGATTGTGACGTCACAATGCTGTGGCACGCGCATTGACCCTCCGGTGAATACGGCCTAAAATCTGGTGAATATGTAGTGTTATGAACTGTTTGCGTTTGTATAGATTATATAGGGACTATAGATATACTATATAATAAAATGTATTATATCTAAAACAATTGATCTTTTTTACAAAAAACACTAGTCTATCAATTTAATTCGCTCTAAAGATATTCAATTAAGGGCTATTCCAGAAAAAAATGTATGGGAGGGTTGGACGGCACTTCATATATTTTTGTATGGGTAATGGGGACTGGAGCAATTAAATTTGCATGGGTGGTTGTCCTCATCCGATATATTTTTAGATGGGTGGTTGCACTTACCCTCACAAATAATCAACTGCAAAGAACTTCCTTCCTTTCATTTTTAGTATAAGTCAGTAAATTTTGACATTTATTTCATAAAAAAAACGTCCTCAACAGTTGAGAAGTGTGTTTACATTGAAAGTGAAAGTAGAATCGAACAACTGAAAACAAGGGCAGATAATTATAAAAGCACATGGTGTCATGACAGTGGTGGATTGGGACACAATTTCTTTGTGTTCTTGTGTTTTTTGTTGCTTCCAGCTCAAGTTTCATTCCAACAATTTATTCAAACGTGATTACATTGGTAATTAAATGATATCAGAAATAGAAACAATCGGAGAGATCGTTTGATTAAAACAGAAAGTAGAAAAAAAAAATGTATCTGATAATAAACATTTTAGAGCATGACTATGGAGTTTGCAAGTCAAATATTTTACTTTATACCAAATACGGTGTAAAATAATGTTTAAATATAACAGGGTTTGTAACAATATACATGTATTATGTCAATACATACCAAT